CACTCGTTCAAAATCACTGACCCGCTGCACCTGCACTCCATCAACACAGCCTATTCACAGTTCACCATCCACTCAGTAGCTGTGTCCCAATGTGAAGGCTGCGTCCTCCGAAGGCCGCATTTGAAGGCCGATTGCGTCACAGCGGCGTGACGAAGGCTGTCCCAATTCAAAGGCTGCAGGCTTGTTCGACTTCATGCAGCTCTGCGCAGACCGATCGGCGGCTGACTTGAAGCAGTGCATGCCGGTTAGAAATGTTGTCCGACTTGATACAGCGCCGACGCCACGTGACTGTGACGTATGCCATCAAAATACCGCGAGAGCGATTCGAGAGCAGCCGGAGAACTCAGCCAGCGCAGCTTCTGAAGAGCGGCTGCTCGGGGCTGCACGAGCTCTGATGACGACACAGCTGTTCCACGATTGGCCGGATTCACCGCATGACAACGATCACGTGCGTTTCGTGTTTATTCTCACACCTTTAGTTCCACTAAAGCTCACAAATCAGTTTTTTATAACAGTAAACACTCTTTTCATGTAGTCGTGATGTTAGGCTATCTATTGTGTTATCTTTATCAAAATAAAAGTGATTATAAAACGTCGACTGCACTTCATTGATAGTGGCTATTTTGAACTTTATTCTTGTTCAAACAGATGCAGTATAAAGCAGTACATAAAGTATTGAATGAAAATGTGTCTGAAACATCTGTGCATTTGGCAAATATTGAATTTATTTCACTTCAGCTGTGGTAAAGTATACAAACACCACGTGAGCGGTTAGCTACTACGGGAACCAGAAAGTGTCCGACTTCACGTCTCCGTTTGCAGCTCCTCCCCGCCTGCACGCGGCTACTCTCGCCGATCGCTTACATCCAGCCGCAGCCGATGTCGAACACACCTTGCATCTTCGAAGGCTGCATTTGAAGGCCGATTGCGTCACCGCGGCGCGATGAAGGCTGTCCCAATTCAAAGGCTGCATCTTCAAAGGCCGTATTTGAAGGCCGGTTGCGTCATCGCGGCGCGACGAAGGCTACCCTGATTCAAAAGCGACACCAAATGCACCCTTCGTTTCCCCGTGAAAGGAAGGATACATAAATGGACGCTTTGCGGTCTATCCTACCCGATCCTACCGCATAATTCATTGCGCGCCGGTGACGACAGCATTTTTGGTGCAGCATTTGGTGTGTAGCAACAGTTCAAATTCAAATGTTGGTGTTCAACTATGCCTTTTAAATCCGTTCATTTATTGTTTTTCAATTATGGGTTAAAAAATTAAAAACGAATGGATGCAAATTTACACAGACTATTAAACTAAAAATAGTTTAGTGATAGTTTTTTAGATTAAAGTCTTTGATTTTACTAGTATTGTGATTGACTATCAAACCTTTCTACAAATACATTATTTGAAATATTTAATAATATAAGGTAGCCTACTTTTGCGTCCATTTGTTTTTCTTTTTTTTTTTACCCGTAATTGAAACACTAAAAATGAAAGGTTGTTGTATTTTTAAAAGCCAAAGTTGAACACCAAAATTTGAAATGTAGGCTACACAAATGCTGCAAAAAAAAAAAAAAAAAGACTTTTTGCCCCTTTATTAAACATTTAAAATATTCACAAATTACTATGGGACAAATGTCGATTTTACTGGTTTTCTAAGGCCAGATTAGAACCTGGAAATTATATTTTTCCCACAATGCTAAATGAGAAGAGCCATGTCTCTGGAACCATGATTTATAGGCTAATGATAATACATGTGTCTGAATAAATAACGAGGCATTTTAATTGTTCGTTTAAAAGTGAACATTTCAAGCTTTAGGCTATAGGTAGCCTATATTTTGTTTCAGTTCATTTATGAGACGCGCTCCAGTTCACGGAGATCATGAAAGCGCGACTGATTGTTTTATTTTATTTTACAAAAGCACAACGTTTTCTTGTTATGTGAGACAAATAAAAGTAGTTGCGAATGATGTATTATTCTTTTCTGTATGACCAGACATTATAGAGTATTTTTTTTAAGTTGTTTCCACTGTTGATGGGAAAATGCAAGTGTTCGCGGCCGCCTCCGTGCAGTGCAGTGCGCGCTCACACTCCCACACACATTTGCGTCAAAATCTTGTGTTTATTTGTGATAATCTTAGCCCTGTATTATGACTGACATTTGACGAATTTCTTTGTTCCTTTTTTGGATAAAACCGCCTTCTAAATATGTAGCCTAAATGTAGGCTAATAATAATATTATTATCATTTGCGTTGAGTTCACTGAAGACAGTAATATGTTAATCATAAAATAATTTATGAATGTTTTATTTTTATATAACCTAACCTTGTGTTTGTGGTATATTTCTTTTTTATATGTGAAGTCTTTTTTAGCTTATTCTAGAGCTTTTTCCTCCTAAAAAATTGACTTTAAAGACAAGTGGCCTAAATGTCGTTTAGAAAATTCATGTATTTAACATCCTCAGTAAAATATAAAACATAAAAATGACAATAGCCAATTCTGGCTCCATAGTAGTTTACTCAATTATAACAAATTAATCATCAGGACGGCAGCTCCGTCTAGCACTGTTGCTTGGCGCCATGGAGCGGTAATCGGGAACACCTGGATGCGCAATTAGGAAATCCTATGAAGGCTACAAGGTGCGTCCTTTGAAGGACGAATAGGCTGCATCCTTCGAAGTCCGCGGCCTTCGGAGGATGCAGCCTTCACATTGGGACACAGCTTTAGTCTGGTCTTGTCGTAGTATACAATGCTTTCTGTCAGACTCCTTACCACTCTACTCACAGTCACAGATCGTCTCGTCCTGTATTCAGTCTTCCGTCCTTCTTCCTGATCCAGATCACTTATCTTCGTGTTCACTCATCACCTGCACAGATAATCCACTTCAGTTACCACCATCATTCAGGAAGGCATCCTCTCACCATCGTCTGGTTCCCGCTGTTTCACCACAACTCTGCTTTTACCGTACTCGTCTCGCAGATGAATCTGGTGGTTTGAGGCGTACTGTACGGTGGCCGAGAAGTGCAAAACAAACCACAATTTCCAAAACAAGAAATTTGCACTTTAACACCTGTCTGTCTCCTTCTGTGTTGCGACAGCAAGTAATCTCACAGTCACGACGAAGGAGTAGATGGAAAAACAGACTTTAATATAATCCACAAACATGTAACTTCAACAATAATGGACAAAGAACTGAAGAAAACTCAGGGGGCTAACATGGGGAGTAATGATGATTCTAATTAGGCTAAACAGCAGGTGAACGAAATCAATAACTATCGGTTCAAACTGTGAATGAGTAATCAAGGGAACTAATAAGAACAGGCAAACGGGAACAGAACAAACAGAGAAAATAAAACTAAAACAGAACACGTTAGGCTACAGGTCAGGAGATGTTTCAGTCAAGTATTTGACTTCAGTCAAGATGTTCAGTATTTATTTTTTTTAAAAAAACCTCTGATTTGTTGTGAATTTAAAAATAATGCGTTACTTTTAGTTACTTAAAAAAAAATATAATCTGATGTAATTCAGGTCACTTGTAATTTTTTACCCCCAACACTGAGAGTATATACTCCAAACAATGTGTCATTTCCCACCATCACTTTTATTTCATTTTCTATTTTTATCTTCGGAGCTGAGAAAGTTGTATAATAAAGAGCCTATTAGCACAGTCATTTTGTTTTCAGTGATCAGTTAAATAGGGAAACACCCAGTTTAGTCAAAGTATCTTTTCAGTTATGTTTTTTTCCCTTTGTATCTCTTTATGGTGTCTGTCAAAACTCTTTACATGTTTATAAGGACTTTTTAAATCCTCTTTCTCATAGAGGATCACAGACTTCTCTGTTTGACGACCGGAACAAGCTGAAGATAAAATCTACACTATGTCATGGTAAATGGAAGCTCTGCACTCTTTTCTGCAAAAAGAAAGGTGCAGTTTTTTTCTCTTTACATTGACTCATTTCCCAGTGTTTTCATTGTTGATGTCGCCTTGTCAACTCCATTGATTGTTAATATTATAATTATTTTGTACTAAATGACCCAATTTATAACTTTTTTCTAAACTGATGATAAAAACACTTATTCTCCACACATTATTCTCCACACACATATAACATAACCTTTTTTTCCCTGTATGGCAGACAGTAAACCAAGGAACCTCAACCACTCTGTGCTAAATGTGTCAGACCTCACCTGTTTTCAGTAATTCTAAAGAATATTTTTTTCCTATGCAAAACATCTGAGTCATTAGAATAGAGAGCACCTTCACATATTGCACTTGAGTGTGTCATTTCATTTGATTGCCTCATCAAGATCAATACATAAATGTATACCAGACCTGATGTTTTCAAGAATCAAATGAAAACTATATGCTAACATTTAGAAAATAACATTTAGAAAAAAAAGAAGTGACAACAGATAGTTATCTTGAAAACAATTACGTTTTGAAAACTTGAAAACTAAATTAATGCCATTATATATAGGTTATTAGCTCTGAATTTGGCATGTTAGAAATATTAAATGGCTTTCCAAAGAGATAATAATTCAAATTGACAAATTGTAATGTTCCTTTTATGTTTCTCTCTGTCTATTCTATCATGAGAACATTTATATGTTAGAACATTGAATATTTTATGAATGTGGCACACATGACAGAGATTAGCAACCTGAATTCTGAAAGTAATTACAGTAGATTTAATTTCCTATTCTATTTCAGAGAAAAATAAAGAAGAAGAAAAAAACAATCCAGAGAATGTTCCAGAGATTTCAGAGAGAAGTGCGTGTTTTTTTTTTTTTTGAAGCATGTATGTGGTTAGAAATTGATAATTAAAAGAATGGTAAATCTGTAATAAATGTATAGTAGCAATGGCAATTCTTTTAATTTTTAATTTAAAGCATTTTTATGTATCGGGGTTTATTTTATTTATTTTAATTCAACAGATGATTAATGGCTATTTTTAAATATTCATATAAAGATTTTGACATTATTAACACAAGAAACAGGAAACACACTGTACTATAATAATCCTACAAGTTTCCACCGTTGGAGAGTGGGGGAGTTGCCTGTTGATAGGTTAAATGTCATCTTGTTGGTTTCATTCTATTTCCTCTTGTTTGAGGGTTACACACAGTTCTTCCAACGATATACTACAGTGTTACTGCTGTTATGTTCTTCTACATGAAAGTCCTCTCAACTCTCCTGTGTTTGCTTTTACTTCACCAAAATGCAAGCGCTAAAGATTGCCCTGCAGGTATGTATGATTATAGTTAAGAACTGGGATTTGGGATCCACTGTTGTGTCTAAATGGATATTTGTCACATGAAACGCCTCATAAATGATGTCTGTTAATTGTAGGTAAGAGGCTTGATTACATAACACAGTATTGTGTGGCCTGTCAAGAAAATCGGTACAACCCCAAAAGTGGACCAAATGTTCACTGTAAACTATGCAGTGAATGTGGAAACGGTAAGTGCCAGGCACAGATTCCATAACTGAGAATGTTACTGTATGTATTTAATGCTATAAGATACTGTGGTGTTTAACTAACACTATATTGAATGTATGGAAACTAAAGTAAGGCAAAGTCAGAGAAAATATTTAGATTTTCAACATGTATTGTTTTTTTCCCCTCAGGTAGTAAGGTAGTCGTAAAATGCACACCTACAACAGATATTCGCTGCCAATGTAAGGAAGGTTTTACACCCATTAATCAGAAAAAAGAGAATTGCGTATGTAAAAAAGGTTCTGAAGTGGATAAAAGAGGTAAACATTAAATCCTACCTTACTGAATCATATCAACTACTAAAGTGAATCTTATGAAACTTGGACTATGTCTCTCTTCTAGGAGAGACTTGCAGTGAATGTCGCAAAGGCTACTTCTCAGACAAAGATGACTCAACTTGTCAAAAATGGAGAGAGTAAGTTTTTATGATAAAATACAGGAAATGAATGTCAAAAGGTATACGGTTTGATAGCCTCATGTAAAAATCCCAGTGCTGTTGTCAAGGGGAGGCAACTGAGCTCAGAGATGCAAAGGAGACCCTACTCTATGGTATGAGGGGGAGCTAACGCTTAAAAATTCCCCAGTAAAAAAAGTCGAATGAATTTCATTGATGACCCTAAACCATATTAATCATCTCAGCAGCTTAATTTCAATATATGATCAGCGTCCTCTTGTGCATTTTTGATGATTCAGCAGTAAAACTTCAAAAGGGAAAGCTCACCCATCATTTACTCACACTCACGTCATTCCAAACCTGTATGACTCTTTCTTTCTATGGAACATAAAATATATTTTGATGAATGTTTATTCTTGTCCATAAAAGTAAACTTTCATTTTATGGACAAGAAAAATACTATTCATCAAAATGACATCTTTGTGTTCTAAAGAAGAAATGAAGTCGTAGCTACAGGTTTGTTATGACCTCAGCATGAGTAAATGATGACAGAATTTCATCAGAATGTTTTTTCTTTCTTTCTGCCATATGAAGAGAATTGCAAACAGTTTTTCATCTGTAGATGCAAAAGTGGGATTGAGATCCTAGGCACCAGCACTTCTGATGCTGTATGCAAAAATCCATCAGAAGAGGTGACAGAAGCTCCCAAAGTGTATGCAACCTCACTGAAGACAACCTCACTGAAGACAGCCTCACTGAAGACAGCCTCACTGAAGACAACCTCACTGAAGACAACAACCATCTCTTCTGCAGCCCCTTCAAGAACTACGGCCTCCTCTCCAACCAAAGACCGCTTCTACAGCTTATGTACTCTTTCTTCATTGCTTCCAGGTTTAGTAATCAATTACAATTTGAATCTTTCTTGCTAAGCATGAATTCATAATTTATTCCAGGGCTGGTCATGCTATGCGCTGGCATTCTTCTTCTGTCTGGACTCCTGTACCACAAGTGTAAAGTCACCTACTGCATTCATAACCGCAAGAAAGTGGATTCTCGAAAAGGTGGAGTACCCCTAGATGACGTTATGACCCTGTTTGTGTGTGTGTGTGTGTGTGTGGGGCTATACTCTATTCATCCTTCTTACATTTATTCTCTTTAGACAGCGTATGCAGAAAGCCTGTTGAAGAATCTGGGGAGAAGTGCCTGTCCTTGCTTGTCTAACGCAAATTTCAGTGGTTTCAATGTTTCTTTTTGTGAAATATTTAAATGCAAGTAATAGTAGTTGTTATATAACTAGTTTATTGTTAATTGTTGTTAATTGCTGTTAACTGTTATCGACTACATTAAACTTCTACTTAAGGTAATAGGCTACTTTATTTGGTAACACTTTATTTTAAGGTGACATAGTTACTGTACATGTTACTAGCCTATTTACTATAGTCATAACAGTAAATTATGCGTAATTACAAGTACCTAACGCTGACCGTAACTCTATGGTATAGCAAATAGTACTTATTTGAGAGAGTACAAGAGAGAGAGTAACTATGTCAACTTAAAATAAAGTGTAACCCTTTATTTTAAGGCTCATTTCCACCAAGCGGTATTACAGTAAGATTCTGGACGGTAAATCTTGATCCGGCTTGCGTTTCCACCGTCACGAATCGTAATGTTCTGTATTGCTCGATGGAAACGAGACTTTAAGGTACAGTACTGGACTACAGTCCAAGGCACCCCAACAGATGGGTCCCAAAAAAGTGGTACGGTTCGGTATTTTGGTACTATTCACAACCTCTGACAATCGAAATGGAAATAATTGCGTACCATATACTATACTGTGCTGTACCGTACCGCCCAGTGAAAACGAGCCATAAATGTGTCCCTTTTACACATCTTACATGTTCTTACTATAGTAATAACAGTCAATTATGCATTATTACAAATTCAATCAATTAACCCGAAACCAAACCCAACCCCTAATTATATAGTAAGTACATGTTGTTAGTATTACTCAGTATAATTACACTGTAACAAGGGCACCTTAAAATATAGTGTACATATTAACACCACTTAAAAACATAAAAATAATCAGTGTTTAGTTGTAATTGAAAAACTTTTTTTATATTATTATTGTTTATATTTTTAATCGCTTCAGTAGATGTTGTGAGAATGATGTTAATACAGTCAATCAGAAAACTATCTTATTTAGAGGTTGTTTAGGACCGTTTACACAAGTTTCGGACAACTGGTTTGAAATCGGACAATGTTAAATACGAATGTATTTGGGGTCCAAAACAAAAGTGAGATTCACCAATATGTGAAAGTGTTAAAAGTTACTTTTGTTCTTATTGCACTTGTAGTGTAAATGCTCATCCATTTGAATTCAGATGGCTAATTTAATTTAAGCCGAGAATTGATTTCAATTCATTACTTTGAGATCTACTTTGAAATCTGCTGATTGGTGAATTTGAATTGTAAATTTCACATCGCCTGAACTTGAACTGCAGTTGATGTAGATCGTTGGATGCTGTAACCTTATAGAGTCATTTCCATGTCGCTACAGTTGTTTACCACATACATGTCCTGTAGTGACTCATGCATTCCTGAGAAAAATATGATGAATTAGCTTAATTTACCATATTTATGGGCAAAGGACAACTTCTGAGAATCTTTCCTTTATTTATTGAATTTTGTGTGTGTAGCCTTATTTAATTTTGTTTCAGTGAAATGGAAATAAATGGGCTGCATAAGCAAATGGCAGTAATATTTTTATTGTATTGTATTTTATTTAGTTTTTCTCTATTTCTTGTTGTTGTCATTAAGTGCAATGTGTCTGCAATTTTAAATAAAGGACTAAATCTAAAAGATTGTTTATATTCTTCGGTATAAATATCAGAAAAACCATTGCTATTGTTCCTGTTGTTCACATGTAAAAATAATAATAAGAAGAATAAAATATTCCTTTGGTCTCAAACCTCTCCACAGAGTTAATATTTGATTGATTTCATAAAAACTAGGACTAACATTTAGAATAGAAAATGCATTTTCATCATATGGATTTTGTATTTCAACAAGTGCACTTAGCAACGTCAGAGATGGTATTGTCCCCTCCTACATGTATGTTTTTTTCCGATAGTCGACAATGTTCCCTTCCCTGTGTCTATAGAAACGCATAACACTCTGAGGTTTTGGGGAGGCGACAGCTTTCGGTTGAAAATTTCCATCCACGCACAAGCACTCACGTTCCTGCCCTTAAAGCTAAATGGCGCCCTGCAACTTCCACTTATGAAACCACAAGCAGGTGCTTTACACTGAAGGCTGTGAACAGTTTAATTCTTAACCTTGCATCTGCTTATTTGGTTTTGAGTTAAAGGAAAAGCAAAGCAGAGTTTGACTGCTTTGAAAAGAGTCTTTACCAATTTCTACAGTAATTATTGATTGTACAAATACAGTTAGTACAACCCCCCCCCCCCCCCCCCCCCCCCACAGTTTATCAATAATGTTACATTATGATTAGAATCAAAATGGAACAAGATGTTACAAAGAGAAAAGTTGAAGTCTTTTGAGTTTATCATTTATTTCAAACATGTTTTTCATAATTCTTCAAATTTAAAGGGATACTCCACTTTTTTTGGAAATAGGCTCATTTTACAACTCCCCCAGAGTTAAACTGTTGAGTTTTACCGTTTTTGAATCCATTCAGCCGATCTCCGGTTCTGGCGGTACCACTTTTAGCATAGCTTAGCATACATCATTGAAGTGGACAAGACCATTAGCATTTCTAAAAAAACAAAAAAAAATGACCAAAGAGTTTCGATATTTTTCCTATTTAAAACTTGACTCTTCTAGTTACATCGTGCACTAAGACCGACGGAAAATGTAAAGTTGCGATTTTCTAGGCTGATATGGCTAGGAACTATACTCTCATTCCTGCGTAATAATCAAGAAACTTTACTGCCGTACCATGAGAGCAGCAGGCGTAATGATATGACGCAGCGCCTGAAAATAGTTCCGTTGTGTTGACGGAAGGTAGCCTGCTATTTTCAGGCGCTGCGTCATATCATTACGCCTGCTGCACTCATGGTACGGCAGTAAAGTTTCTTGATTATTACGCAGGAATGAGAGAATGAGAGAACGAAACTCTTTGGTCATTTTTTTTTTTATAGAAATGCTAATGGTCTTGTCCACTTCAATGATTTCCAAAAAAAGTGGAGTATCCCTTTAAAGTGTGTCACTTCATTTCTGTCTATGTGTGTTCTGCGTTGTTTCTGATTTTAAGGATGAATTTTGTCCATTTTCTAAGCGGGTTCTGACAAAAATGGACAACATTAATTTGATTCTAATCATAATGTAACATTATTGAAAAACTGATTGTTTTAAATACAAAAAATGCTATTGTTAGAATTGTGATTTCGGTAACACTTTACAATAAGGTTCTTTAGTTAACATTAGTTAACTACACTAGTTAGCATGAATGAACAAATAATGAACTGCACTTATACAGCATTTATTAATATTTGTTAACGTTAATTTCAACATTTACTAATACTTTATCAAAATCTTGTTAACATTAGTTAATGCACTGTGAACGAATATGAGCAAACAATGAATAGCTTTATTTTTATTAACTAATGTTAACAAAGATTAATAAATACTGTCAAATGTATTGCTCATGGATAGTTCATGTTAGTTAATACATTAACTAATGTTAACTAATGAACCTTATTGTAAAGTGTTACCGTGATTTCATTAGATATAAATCCAAATAGAAAAACTTGTGTAAAGATGTCTCTCAGTTAGTCAATTAGCAAATAGTGGAGCTCTGCAGCCATCTGTGGGTTAAAGTGACATTGTTTTACTTTAAAAACTGCATTTTCCAAAAGATGGGCAAAAATCTTACACCAAAACATGTCAAATTATCCATGTTATCCCCATGAAAGGGGCAAATGTGGGTCCTTTATACAGTTAATTTTACATAAAAGGCTGTTTTTGTATTTAAAAAAAAAAACTAAAATTACTTCTTTTTTTTTTTTACTTTCAATTTGTTACAAAAATAAATTTTGTTGACCCCAAACAGCAGAAGTGTGACTTTTTTCCACACTAACATGAAAAACAAATATCATTCCAATTATTATTATTATATATATATATTTTTTTTTTGTAGATCTAGAAAGTGTTGACAACTTTACAAATTCTCATGCCATTTTGACAGAGAAATTTTTTTTTTCCAGCAAACATCATTTGGGGTCAAAAAGACCCCGGACAGCACACAGGGGGTTAAAAAAAACGTGCAGGTTTACAGTGCATTTTTTTCTTCTTCGTTTTTTCGTATTACTCATAGCATCTCATTTTACATCAGAGTGTGACCACCTCTGCACAGAAACGTTTTGTAAAAGGATCTGAAACGAGAAGTCCGGTTTTTTTACCAACCATAAAAGTCCCAGACAGGCCATGCAGCTCAATCCAAGATGAATCTCAGAAAGAATGGAGCCCTTTTGTGAGAAGAGAAAGCATGTGAATGCTTGAAAATATGTTTTCTTATGTTGTTCATAGAAGAATGTTCATATAAAATAGTCTGATATTAATTTCCTCTCTGTTTGAAGTAGCAGCCCCATCTGCGGGTTGCAGATGTCAAGAAAAAGCTGAGCAGAGCAAAGTCGCACTACTTCCTGATCTATACGCATGAGCTGTTTGTTTTATTTGTATTTGATCTAATCTGCCCTATGTGCCCAGATAACTGCTCTGCCATGCTTTCGTGAAGAACAGCACATTTTTGATGCAATCTTGTAGCATAGTGGTCTGAGAGCTAGGTAATCTTGGAACTTGTTCATTTCCTTACTTCATCTGTTGTTCAAGAGAATGAACCACATCCCTTGCCTTCTTGTCAAAGAGCGTTGTCAATGTCATGAGATCAGCATTTCCCTCACATTCTTCAGTTGAATTCTTGTAACAGAGAGTAGCTATAGGCCGTTGCAAACTAATGACAAAATTAGCTGAAATGATGCGTTTAGAGAGTCATTTTGAATTTGCACGCTCCCTCTAAATCTAAACCTTAAAGTTGCAAACAAGAACTTACACTCATTCTATAAAATGGCCTTTGTCATTTTGGAAAATCAGATTTTTAAAGGACACTTTTGCATAATTTTAAACTTTTTATCAAAATGCTTTTAAATGTTGACGTGGAAGGAACATTTAAAACACAATACAGCATTCAGTAGGCTAATATGACCATATTGCAAACATTTAAACAATATTTTTTTGGTCTACTTCACAAGATGTGATGTAAATTTTAATTAAATTTTTTATTGTCTTGAGCATTGATTGTCCTAGTGGAAAAAACCCAAAACTTTGTTTTAATAATATTTTAAATAAACTTTAAGACTGGCTATACGTTACGGTGGCCCAGTGGCCTGGTGCACAACACAACGAAATTTAAAAAGCAAACATAAGTTCACAACACAACGGAAAATGTAAAACACAACGCAAATAAGCCA